TCTCTAAAGTTTTGAAATAAACAGACGTATAGAAATACATACACTAAAACACCAGGTTAAGTTTTAACCGAGGCTTAGCGCTATCAATCCAGCTTTGACCAACCGGCCCCAGATCACGTTGTATATACGTGAAGAAAAACAGCCATTTCACGTTTTACATGTAAGAAACTAACTATCGTTCACGAAAATTTTAAAAAAGTTTTCGAAACTGAGGCAACTTATTTTAGTTAAAAGTAACAATTTCCAAATAATTTGTCTTTTGAGAAATTTATCTACTAACAAAAGTGTATATTTGTTTCATATTTCAACTTACTCCACGTATAAACCACGGCCAATTATACTATGAGTAATCTTTTCTTCGCTTTTCAATTTATATCCAGTATCAGATTATTGCAATGACTCTCAGAATGTCACTATAAGTACTTTAAAAACAGGTACACTTACTGAAATTAGAGTCACGTCACTGTCAGACAGCCTCACATCACTATCAGACAATGAATATTTGACCCACATGTATCCCACATTGCATTATAACGGAGTACCGACACGATCCCCAATAGAAAACAGGCATATATGCCGCATCCGGCATTGCATACTTTAGAAAACAAAATTTTTGGTTTGGACAAGGTTTCCATATACAAATACCTGAAATGTAGCACCCGCATGTACGTATACTGTATACATGTATACAACGATCGATAGTCATCGACTGATGGGGGCTAATACTATAACACCTGCAGTGGTTATGAATATATAATTTCTGGATTATAGGACGCGTTACAGGGCAGTTGATGCTAGCCACCCGGTTCAATCTATTTGCCTGCACCAAATAAAAAGCGACTATACAAAATATATGATACTTATGATGAAAACACAAACTTAGGAATTATTAATTTGTTAGCCTCTGGTAGCTGGCGTTTCACAACATCTAGCTGCTGCACGGTATTGCTTAGTGAAACCCACTTATATAGACAGTGAAGGGCAGGGAGGGGGGAAGGTAGGATTGACTGTCCCTTTATTTTACCAAAATATTTCTCAAAATGTGAACCAATATACTCTCAAATTGCAGGTACTTCCCCACAACAATGTTGACACAATTTTATAAATGATGTGCCATATGTTTAGCATTAAACAAAAAAGTCAAAACAAATCCGAAAGTCAAAAGAAAGCAAATATAATTGCAATGGGAGTTTGCAATATCAATGTTATTTAGTTAATGAAAAAGATTGTTTTCTTCTACAGCAATGTGGCCAATAAGTTATAGCAAATATAGATGAGTAAATAGTGTGTTACAAAATCCACGATTAATAATTTTTAAGGTAGAGATTAGCCGTGAAAAGAGAAAAAGTGACGGGTATAGAAACCTCAAGACATCATGAAACTATAAATTTATAGAATACCTCGTATATAGATAAAATTACACTTTCCTCTAAGAACAAAAATTATATATTGATGATTTGAATGCCCCTAAAAACAAGGAAAACAATTTACTTCCCAAATTTTGTTTGCTTTGTTTCCCCATTACGTGGGATGTCGTTTGATTAAAATATGTTATATTCATATTGCGTAGTATTTACCTCCAGTGCACGAGACAGCTGTCAGGCTAGATATGCTGACCGCATGTGCAGGTGTATCGCTCACGTGTATGAGGCCACATGCTCTATCTATCACGGTCTAGTTAAGAATGTGCACATCATGCATGAGGCTAGAATTAATGAATGAAGGACCGTATAAAGAATGATATAATCTGGAATGGTCTGTGCCAGTGTAGGAAGTGCCAATAACAACAAACTTTCATTGGGAGGAATGCAACTACCTGACTAAAATTCAAAGCGAAATTCGAGGTTTTGAGCGAAGGCCTAGCTTCGTCCAGAAGTTAGTTTCCCGGCGAAGGGCCTTAATTCGCTCAAAAGGTCGAATTTCGCTTTGTATTTTCCAGGTATAGTTACATCCCTAACAACGAAAGCTTGTTAGTATATAGAAGTGTGTCTTGCAATTTAACTAGAAAAATTTAAAACTGCTGATAGCGGGGGTAGGGGGGTTTGTTGCCATACAAACTCAATCGATTCCGCGCATGGGCATGTTTACCCAAAGAGAGTTTTGAAATATAGTCTCTAAAATGATGCCAGTTCCTGGCGTTCGAGGAACGATTTGAATCCTCGTCATTTGAATCCTAATAATTGCAACCCTCATAAACAACTGTTTTAAACAACGTAACAGCGAATCATAAATCAGACAATAGTATAATATCATTTTTACCTATCACAACCTTAAATTTGCATTTCAGATAATGAAGAACAAGATCCCCATTATGATTTATTTTGGGGGTCATCGCTCGCCCCACTTTTATACTCTCTGTTCCGTCACCCTAGCACGTATACGTGATTTGTAAGGAAGATATAGGGTATGGGGAATATATGGGATCGGAGACCGCGCCTCCAGAAAACGTTTATATTTTTGATGCTCGATGCATGCATGGACCGCGCAGTCTTCTCACATCCGCAAGGAAAACGACAAGCATATTTTAAGTGCACAAACGACAAGCATACTTTAAGTGTTTATATTCGTGCGTTCACTTGTTAGTAACTGCACAGTTATGAGTTTTAGATTGAACTGCACAAATGAATCTAGAACTGGCTTGGACATTGTGGAGGGAGGTAAAGATAGGGGTTGAAATCCGATCAGCTTAACATTAAATTCAAATTACGCCTTGTTTATAATTTTGGAAATATTTCTTCAGACATCTTGTCTGGACCAGCAGGAGTTTTCTTCTCTAATGTTTTGAAATAAACAGACCTGTATAGAAATACATACACTAAAGTACCAGGTTAAATTTCAACCGAGGCTTATAAATCCAGCTTTGAACAACCGGCCCCAGACCACGTTGTATACGTGAGAAAACCATCCATTTCACGTTTTACATGTAACAAATTAATCATCGTTACAAGTAACAACTTCCAAATAATTTGTCTTTTGAGAAATTGATCTACTAACAAAAAATTCAAATTATTTCACTTATAACCACAGCAAATTATACTATGAGTAATCTTTTCTTCGCTTTTCAATTTATATTATCAGAATAGATTATATTGCAATGATTCTCAGAATGTCACTATATGTACTTTAAAAAAAGGTACGCATACTGAAATTAGAGTCACGTAACTGTCAGACAGCGTCACGTCACTATCAGACAATGAATATTTGACCCATTGCATGTATCCCATGCACATTGCACAGTATCGATACGATCCAAAGTAGAAAACGGGCATATATGCCACATCCGGCATTTGATACTTCAGAAAACAAAATGTTTGGTTTGGACAAGGTCTCCATTTACAAATATCTGAAATGTATAGCACCCGCATGTACGTATACATGCCCGTAACGATCGATATTCATCGAATATGGGGGCTGATACTATAACACCTGTGTTTATGAATATTATACTAGAAAATACATGCATGCAGAAACCCTCGCCTTGCTGACAAAACCATTGTATTTTCCGAACATGAAGTATCTAAAGTAGTTGTCATGGCAACACGATAATTTTTTAAGAATATTCTTACAAATGAAAAATCGCCTAAAAATGTCACTTTTAATTAGTAGGAAATTATCAATTTCCCAACATACAGTATATATCAGTATACAGGGTGTATAAAAAAAAAGGTAATCGAACTTCAGCGCGCTATTATACGTGAATACTCGGCGTATGCACAATTGGTTTTCATATTCGGAAAGATCAGGCTTTTAGCTATTGAATGACATGCTTTTCATGCCAAATGGAGAAAAAATAAGCATGTACGAGGCCGATTAAAAATGTTAGTCAAAGTCGCATATTTTCACCTCTGTGCCTAATTAAAACAATGCATAACAAAAGAAAAAGCAATTAATCACGAACGTGTCGTAGCTTAGCTAAGATTTATTCCTACTTAATAATAATTATGAATATGTGTGCAGTTTAATGAAGTGAAATTCATCAACTTAAGTCCTAAAGGGGATTCATTTTCAACGGTTTTAGACCCAACACTCAACGGTGAAAATATGCGATTCTGACTAGCATTTTTTATCGGATTCGTATTTGCTCATTTTTTATCCATTTGGCATGAAGAAGATATCATTCAACAGCTAAAAGCATGATCTTTCCGAATGTGAAAAAATCTCGTCCATACGCAGAGTAATTCAGATACAATAGCGCGTAGAAGTTCGATTACCTTTTTTTATACACCCTGTTTATAGGTATGTTAGGCTATTTAATATACGTAATATAAGCCTCGATTTAAGGTGAAATTCAACCATAAACGCTCGTAATATATGTAGACGTTTTGAGGCCTTAGAAACAATAGCATTTATTTGTTCATTCCATTTAAGGTCGTTTTGTATAATCACACCGAGCACTTTATGGGACGTGAAATTCAATTTGTTTACGACTGTTTTTCACGCCGAAAAGTGTTTTATTTTGTTTATCGTGTATTTTCGTACTCTTGTGAGAAGGCAACTAAAATTTGAGCTAACATTGATTCCGCTTTAACTTATTTAGGTGCTTTAATTATTCTATATTCCTACTATTTTCTTCATTTGTTGTTGTATTTCAGTTTTTAATTGTGCTTTAAAATGTGTCTTTTAGCCAGAAATAGAAGCAGGATCGAAGTGGTCAACAATGCTTGCAGTCATGTTGTTTTGTTTTGGCGATGAAAAGTATTTGCCATAAATCAACGCGTCCAAAACACAGCGAAATATAAGAGCACAAACTTGTTAATCAAAACAATATTCAGCTACAAATATTGTATAAGATGTTTTTGTGGTGCGTACTCTCATATTTTTTTCAAAACAAGCATATAAAATTTGTGACGTTCTAGAGAGGACGTGGAAACACCCTGAACGCCGTCCTAAACGCAACTTAAATTGACGACGTCCAAGACTAAACCAGAAGTAAAATCTCGCATACCGCGCCATCTTCACGTCCTTGTCGACGTCGCGTTGTCAGTTGCTAAAGCAGTCTAATGCTTCTCTCATTGAGAACGAAAAGTACCGATCTCCACGATGCCCTCTTGATACTATACGCTAACACGCTCCGATCTCTACCTGATGGTGGTGTGACAATCCGCGTGAACCACGCCCCAGCATCCTCTGTCCTCAACAATGACAAGATCCTTATCAAGCTTATCTCCTCTGGCATTAATTTGGAGATGGGCAGACCTAAGGACCTTAATAAAATCCCCTTTGCAGAACACGCCATTGCAAGCTTGGTACGTATGGAGCTCCTTAACCTACATCCTGAGGGAGGCCCAGTCTCAAAGATCGAGTTAGCTCTTGCTATCCCAACTGAATTCCCGAATCCGACGCGACGGCATTTCTGAACGTGAACTCTGGACCAAAAGAGATCGTCGACCGCTACTTTATTCTCAATCATGATCAAAACGTATCTCGTAAGAAGAACTTCAAGAACCACCTACACAATGCCACCTATGGAAGGCTATTGTGGTAGACTAGGTTTTTCAACTACTACCATTTCTGTTGGCGATCTAGTTTAAGTTAGGGTTAGGGCATGGGCATCCCTCTAAACGTTAGGTTAGAGCATGGGCATCCCTCTAAACGGAAATACATATTGCGAAATGTAGCTTATATTAAATCGCTACCAGATTGCACTATCGGCGAACTGACGTATGCGGTTATAAAATATACTTTATAAAGTATACTTTATAACTATACGTCAGTTCGCCGAGTGCAATCGGGTGGCGATTTATACATTTCGCGATATATTTAACTAATTTGTGATTTTTTTTGTTTATTTTATAATTTCACTGCAGTTTTAATTTAAATTCAGCCGTTTAGTGGGCTGCCTATGGTTAGGGTTAGGGTTGGGGTTAGGATTAAGGTTAGGATTAGCGTTTGGATTAGCGCTATTGTAAACCCATTACAACCCAATACTTTACAACTACAATAGATTAGTGGTTACAACGTGCGGAACGGCTGTTATTTTTTAGGCCCACCAAGGGTACAACCTAGGTCGCTTGTCACTAATTTTGTAGCTGCTTTGTCGCTTGTTTTATTGTAATAAATGTCGCTGTCACTTTTGACCCATAACACTAATCCCAATTTGTCGCTTTTCCCAGTCCCGAAGCAGTCGTTTGTCGCTCTTTTTTAGATAGTCTGTCGCCTCTTTTTAAGGAATGTCGCCTATCGGTCATAACCCCTTGGTGGGCCTCATTTTTCAAGTATCTTTTTTGAAAATTTTGAGGACCGAGATCTGAACCTCTCCATTGGTAGTAACATGACGTATTACCTAATTCAAATATGGCGGCCACAACTAATTTTCGTTTTGTGCAAAATGGGAAGGTAAATTGTTGATTCAGTTTGTTGTAATAAAGTTGTACATATAGTTTATTCCGCTGTGCTAATGCCATCCTTTACAAACTTATCTTTTATTTAGCTCTTGGGTCTTTTCAAAGCAAACTACGCGTTTGCTGGTCAGTGTTGTTATTTCCATACTTCAAATCTTCACATGAATCCACGAAAGAATTCGCCATTTATCAGTGAAATAAATGAACCATCTTTTGATGGTAGTGCCACGGTGCCAAGGAGGCGTTCAATTCCTGACTCACTGTATCAGAAACCTGATATACCAGAACAACTCATGAAGTACAATGAATATAAAGACAGAATTGTTATGGACAGCCCAGGTAATGTACGAAGTTTCATGAATTAATGAGTTTTTAACCCAGTCGAATTTCAAAGATTGTGTACGTCACAGGTATACACTTGTAAAACCCACACAAGTGATTAACGAAAATGCTTGTTAAGCATGAGTGACAATCCCCCCCTCCCCCCCTCATCGCAACTGGCAACGACCAAATTAAAATCAGGTTTAAGTATTTTGAAGCAAAGTTGTCTGTATTTTTGTCAATGTTTTCAAGAAATGCCCATAGTCTTTTGAGGATTTCATAGGGGTGCACCGAAACTCTGTCAGGCCAGTTAGTTCCGGCCGGAACCCCGATTTTTTAAGCCGCGTTCACACCAGCGGCCCAGGCCTGGCCTGGCCTTGACCTGGCCTGGGCCAATTGTGACCCATTCACACTGGCTTGACGCCCAGCTCCAGGCTAAAGCAATCAGGCGTCAATATAAACGTCCTTGTGTTCCACTAAAGTATTTAATTTCGCGCTTTGAATCTTTTTCCCTCCAATTATATGACAATCATCTGACCAGTTTTTATCGTGGGCAGATATTGCGATGGTAACGGGGCCTCGCCCAGGCCAGGCCCAGGAAAAACCCGTTCACACCAGTGATGATCGAGGCCCAGGCCAGGTCCAGGCCACCTACATTTGCTGGCCTGGATTTCTTGACTTAGGCCAGGCCTAGGCCAGGCTCAGGCCAGGTAAAAGCCGTTCACACCTAGGCCCAGGCCAGGCCTGGGCCGCTGGTGTGAACGCGGCTTTAGAGGTCCAGTTCCAGTCGGAACTAATAAAAAAAGCATTAGTCTAGGACCTGTATATGAGTTTGTATGCGATTCATTTAGGACAGGTAATCGCAACTGTTTTTAGGGTAAAATGACCATGGCGGTCAACATGGCATATGTGCGAAAACCTGAATCCGGGGCGAAAGTCCCGAAAATGACCCCGCCCTGAAACGGCAGTGTCGACATAGCTGTAACTTCCGAAAGGGAAAAGCGATAGCCTTTCTGAAGTGCTTATGGTGTTTAGAAGGGTTGCTTTTAGGGGTGGTCATTGGAAGGAAAAATTAATTGTCTAAGTATAACATTTTACCAGAAAATGACCATGCACCACCCCCAGGTAAAATGCTGATTATGCACAAAATAACTATTTAAATATGCCTGGCAGAAATTAAATTTTCTTATTTCCTAAAAAAAATTATCATGGGATGAAAAACTATGCTTAGTTCAATATAATTATGGATTTGATAAGGATTGTCACTTACCTCCCACGAAAACACGATTTCAGCCATATTTTGCCGTCTTGTTTGCTTTTTATCGCCGAGTCTCACAAATATCATCCAGTCGTTGTACTTTTACTTAATCATAAATGACTAAAGAGTATATCATCCAATTTTCATGAAGTTTTGGAACTGTGCAGTGTATTTTATCTTCGATATTGTGTCCTTCGATATTTCGTCAAATTGCCGCCATTTTAATGGCTCGCCGCTTCTCTGTACGATAAATGCCACTTCTCCATTTTCATATGTATTTAGATTACAGTATCCAAGAGTACATCATTGTAGAATAGTCCCAATCGAAAAGTTGACAACATTTGTCCCATTTGGGACGAAAAACCATCCCGTATGGTATACTGGAGGGTTTAGGTTCAGAATAAAAAACAAGTCATTTGAAAGTCACGCGCAATCTTCGCGAAAACTTCTTGTGGACACATGACAGGGGGGGTGAATATTTTCACGAAACGTTTGTTCACCACCACAGAAACATAACTAAATATATTGTATTTACTGCGATTTCCAGTTGAGTATGGAATTGCGAAAGTTTGTTCGTCAAGTTTTGTCGTTTGAAAACAATGTTTGTGACATCATTCTATAATGTTGTTAGGTGAGCTGACAATGTTTTCAAGTAAAATACTGCCAAGTTCACGACTATAAATAGAAACTTTATTTCGTTTTGTAATGATTGACAGTTTTTAACGGTTTTTACTTGACAACATTGTGTGCTCGCCTGGTAACATTATAGAATGACGTCACAAACATTGTTTTCAAACGACAAAAGTTAACAAACAAACTCTACGAACAAACTTTCGTAATTCCATACTCAAGTGGAAATCGCAGTATTGTATTTTCATGATTTATGATAAAAACAATAAATATTTGCGTAGTTTTGTTCAACGTTTGTCGATCTTTTTATTCTAACATTTGATGACTTGAAGTGTCTGCCTGTCTGGCAGTAGACAAAGTAACATATAACTTTATAATATAGCATTTGTAAATTTTGAACGCTGATTGGCTAAGAGCCGTGTTGATATAACTCAATGTCAACACGGGAAATTTTCCACCGCTTGTAAACACGGAAATTTTTCTTATCCTTCGGGCTTTTGACATTGCTATATTATAAAAAAAATATAAACATTTTTTCCGTATTGATATATAGTTATATCAACACTCGTGGAAGTTGGGAAAACTCGAAATTGTATGAAAACACTCCGCCCTTCGGGCGTCGTGTTTCCATACAATTTCTCGTTTTCCCAATTTCCACTCGTGTTGATATAACTGTATATCAACACGGAAAATGTTTTATATTTGTTAAATATATAGCTTAATAAATCAGTTCCGGTTGGATCTAATAAATCAGTTCCGGTTTTTCCAGTTCCGGTTGGATCTGGTTCCAGACGGAACTTAAAAAAATGGTTCCGGGGCACCCCTAGATTTCAACAGTGTCAAATTCCCAGGGACCTTTGAGTACACAATATCTGGCCCTGGTGCACCACTTTGCAAGCTAATTACCAATCCCTGGGAACAGCATGGTGAGCAAATTCCAGGCTGTTGTCCCAGGAAGAGGAGTGGGGGGGGGGGAGAGAGTAATTGGGGAGGTGGCATGTTACAGACACCTACGGAGCATACGTCTGTGGTGCATAGCTGTTGAATATGAGAAAATTTACTAAACAGCCATCTACTAAACAGCCATTGTTGGTGAGGAAACTAAAATAGGTTATTGTTATAATACAAGGGAAAGGCTGTAGTTCGTTGATCTCAGAATGACATTTGTTCAAAACTTTTTTCTTGAAGACTAGTTTAGAAACAAACTTGGAGTAGGGTGAGGTTAGGGTTAGAGTTATAGTATTTGGAATAGGGTTTGTATTAGTAAAACCGTCGCTTTGTTACGTTTTGTCACTTTGATCGAGGCCAGCAAAATATAAATTATTAACCTCTTCCATCATACAAGGGTTGAGGTTCAGTTTATCGCTTGAAGAGCAATAACATTTTTATGTTACCCTGTCATCGCCCTGATGAAGGCACAAAATAAAATACAGTATACATGTGATACTTTTTGTGGCAGGCATCTTTCTGCTTGCGCGCGGTCTGGAAATGACGATAGTTCGGAAATACTCGATAGTTATAATTATATATATTTGGGCTGTTCAGATCCAGGGCAACTTAACTGGCTTGCCTTCTTGGGCTAGTTTGTCATGTACTTTATATCAAGGCAGTTAATAGTCATGGTGGTACAACAGCAGGAAATTCTCGATATGAAAAGCACATCAAGTTTTTGAGGTCAAACTAACAGTTTTCACGCTGATATAGAATTATTTGTTACATTCTTTAGGTGGGATGCTTTCAACATATGTTCCAATTCTAAAAAGATCTTCTATATTTTCTATTGAGGTATGCACATAAATAGTCGTTAAAAGTGAATCCCGTACAATGTAGTTTCTTTATCAACTCTTTGTAAGCGTAAGGATGGATTCACTAGCTGCAATTCACGGAGGCATGCAAGTAAAAATTTTAAAAATATACAAATACGTATATGTATGTATTGGCTAAACGTACATGGATTTTCTTGGAAACACCAAATGACTCCTTAGGTCCCTAGCCACATGAGAGTCCATGTTGGATGAGTTATATATACTAGCCACATCATTGTATATGGTATGAATATCTTTATTTAGGGTTGGAAACAAAGGTGGCAGTCATTTAAGGATGCTATTATATCAACGTACAGGTAAATACTGCAATATTAAGTAAATGAATTCACCTTTGTTTTCAGTACTGAAAGCTCAAGTTATCCGTTCCAGTAAACAGAGCCTCCAGAAGAAAATAAATTAATCGAGTTAATGTACTATTTTGGCCTCCATCCTCTCATAGTCAATCGAGATATTATGGTCTTGAAACTGGGCAAACATCAAAATATCTATAATGAGTTACGATTTCATGTTGAGACAAATTCACCGTGCACATGCATATCTGGATGATTCGACGACATGATGATTGCTTCATTATGCCGAAAATACATTGTCTTCACCATGCACAACATTTGCAGTGTTTCCAGACCGATATCTTGATTGACTGTGATCGACGTACATAAACTATGACTGATTGATGAGATAACTTTCTGCCTTTTGCTATGAATGTTTACTTTTAATTACAGTACTGTACCTGCATGTATACCTGGGCATATTTAATGTTTTACAGTATTGGGATGATCAAAAGATCAGTCAAACCTTTCAAAGTGAGGGACTTTGCTGAAGAAGCTGAAAAAACATTTATTGATGTTAATACATGTTTAACAAAGTACGTATTATGATTTTAAAGTGCAGCTTTTTTTGTTAAAAAAGTATAGAGATTTCCGTGCAGTAGATGGGTGAAATAAAAATCGTGTCGTCATGGCGGACGATATTTTTTACATGTGAAATTTACCGTCTCACCATTTTGATTAGTTGGACGAATTTTATTACATGTGATGAATTATCGTCTCAGCGTTTGATTGGCTGGTGTTTTCCCGCTCATAATTGTAAACATGACGCCTGGTTTTAGCGATCGCGCGAAGTCGCCGTAGTGAGAGTTTTTATTTCATTTTCGCTAATAAAACGACTATATTATCATCAGAAAAACATGTCAAGGCTAAAATTACTTCAGATAAACATCTTCGACTTCGATGAGAAATCTGTTTTTGCATATACTTCGTTTGTGGACCTTGTGTGTTGTTCGCTGTGAGTTTGTCAGTATCAAATATTTATCTCTATACTGTACGTATAACAGAAAATTTCTTCATGGTTGGTTCGTTTGTACGATTTTTATTATTTACCCGTTGTGAAGGATCGCTAAAACAAATAACTGTGCATGTGCTATAGGAATTCCTATTGGAATCGTCCAAAATCTGATAGGGATTAATTAGATATGATTCCCAACAAAATTTGCCAACCATGTTGTTCTCTTTTGGGTATATCAATATAACGTGGTCGAGTGTCGAAATAGCCGCCGGCAATTTTAGGACTTTGCCGGCGATTTTTAATTTCAAAGCATAGGGGATCGGCGAGAATATTTATTCACCGATGACTCGCTTACAATAACACGAACATATACACAGAACTTGTTAATATTTGTTCCTACACCAAATAAAATGTATTGCTGTGTTCTTACAAATGTTGTGTTGGTTTACATCACTATTATTTGGCCTATATGCCCACTCCAGAACATAACTAAACTTCTCTTGGAAAATAGCTGGCAAACATTTTCACCTGCAAAAAATAGCCTATAAAATTTGACATATTTTCAGAACGTTATTTCGAACCCTAGACTGTCAAACTACACTCAAACCCAGGGCTGGATGAAGATTGATCAAGTCCAAGAACTTGTCAATGAATTAATTCATTATTATTAAGCATGAGTTATCATAGTAATTAGACCCTGCTTCGCCTCTCGCATTACCCGAACTTGAATGTTATGTAATTTGTTCATTATAGAAGTATAAAAAAGCTTAAAGTAAGTATCAGGAGATGCGAAAATCGAATAAATCAACACATAGTGAAGTCAAAATAGAATTATTACATGGATTCAATAATACCGAACTTGATATTCGTAAGATATCAATATTTTATAAAGATAGGAAGCAAACAACACAATTGATTGCATGACATCCAATTAAGTAACCAAAAACTGAATAACTCCCAATAATTTTTCTAATTTCTATATTTCACACATGCAGTTAAGAAAATTAATTATGTTTTTCTGGTTATAGTGGTGACAATACTGGTCTTCTAACAAGAACTACTCTAACTGCATATTATGTAAGTCAAACTTTTAGTGGTTATTAATTGGTCCAAATTTATTATTAATTAGTTAATGATTGTATTCTGTCTACTTAGGCGGGGTTATTTTATTATCACTAATTTTTATTTAGGGTTTTGTCAAAGAATTTTTCGATGCCAAGAGAAAGTTTCATTGGCACTTTGTTTCATCGGTTGAACGTCCACGTGTAGTGCATGCGGCAATATCGTCTATGGAAGAGAAAGAAAATCTCTTCGCCCAAGTGGTTGTACGCTTAAACATTAATCAAGTAAGTCCAAACAGGTGGGAAAATTGACTGAGCATGCGCGAAAACTGGTCGGGATTTTAGCGGGAGAACAAGTATGTGTGCTTCCACTTGGTTGATTTAAAAAACATAAACAACATGAACGAAGCCTTCGAAAGACAATTTTACAGCGGCTGTTTAGGCCCACAAATCACCACAAAAATTGGATTCACTGACAAAACATGTTGCAGTAATACTTTGATTTCCTATATTGCCACATATTTTACAATGTAAAGTATTAATATCGATTATTTCAGTGCAAAACCAAACAGAGCAAAAAATTTCCTTTTAAAATGTCGTCTGTGAAATTCAAACCAAAAATAATAAAACTTCTTCATTTTTTACAAAGTCAAGAAATTTAATGCCAACTTAAAAATGCTTTGTAATTTAATGTAAAACAGCGATATTTCGTTGGCACAACCTGTTACATGACAAAATTCGTGTTTATAGGATTTTGAACGAGCGAAAATTGTGTCTAAAAATAATACAAAGTTTACGCTTCGAAATGAGGGTCATAGAAAAACCGGATTACTATGTTTATATGTTTTCCCAATACTTTGAAAACCTAAAATAATATTTTAAAACTATTATAGCAAAATACGGGGCAAAATGTTCATTCTGATGCTCATTTTCTGAGTCGCCTTTTTCGTATAAATTAATTACACTTGCACATGAAATTTGCCAAAATTCAGTACTCTCTTAATTTTTTAGGGGTAGCGGGCCACCGGCTTTCGGCTTTAGGGTTAGGGGGTGGGGTCAGAGGTTAGGAAGTGGGGGTTAGGGGTTAGAGGTTAGGTTAGGGGTTAGGATTTGGATTAACGTTTGGATTGATCGTATACCCATTACAACCCAATACTTTATTGCATACAATGGCATTACAACGCCAATAGATTATTGGTTACAACGTGCGGAACGGCTGCGTAAGTCCATAATTATTTGTCGTATTTGGTATTTGCAAAACTTATTGCAGTTTTTGCTTCAACATTGGATATTATTACTTAGGAGCGAACCATTGGAAAAGCGATTGGAGGGGGAGGGGGGGGGGAGGGAGTAAGCTTGTACAAATTTTTTCCGGCCGCCTGCTTGTGCTGGAATTTTTACCGGAATTTGACGAATATTTTTCTTTGTTTTTCCACTTTGCACGATTTTTTTCTTCTTTTGTTTTCCTTTGCGCGATTCTTTTTGTTTCCTCCCCCCATCACTTTTCTAATGGTCCACCCGTTAATTCAAAGAATTAATTATTTTCTATATGATATAGACTATAGATTATAGGTAACCAAGTATTGAATAGTTAAGTACTGAAACATTTATTGAGTATAAACTTTTATTTTCCCAAAATCTTGGCATTTCAACAGAAAGAGTACAGTACATAATATTATTTTAAATTAGTAGGTCAAATAGATATATGCATTCGGAGTATTTGGGCTAGGTGAAATAAAAAATATATTCACCACTGCCTTATTTAATAGATATCGGCAGTTGAAGACAGAAACGGACGTGTGGTCTCCGGAGACACGAAGAAACCACGTGAACTTTTAGAGTACATAGTATTAGAAAGACATTTACCAAATGAACATGGCACGTGGAAAATTTGTGGTAAACTTTATCCAAAACAATAGGATGATATGGGCCCGGAATGAAGCTGCAGCTTTTTGCGTAACAGATTGGCAGTCGTTGGAGAGTCTGTAACCTAGATGTACAGTATAACTTACAGAACTAATGAACGGAAGCTTCAGGAGGTATTTCGTTGCATGTCTGTGATGTCTTTCGAGCTTTAGCATAAGTTCGATAGATATATACATGTATAGACTTGTGTCGCGTAAGTTAAATCGTACCATGTTCAAATATATAGTTCTCCTTGTTGGAACGCCACGAATTGTTCGTGTGCTACTCGTGATGTATTTTGCTTTGGCACACTGTTCGTTAACTTGTTTGTTCCACGTTAAATCATAGAATATCCAAATAACACCAAGATTACGTTCGTTCTAGTCGATGTCAACTGCGAACCTTTAATAGTATTTTCATATTTCCACCTGCGGTGCGGTGCAATTTGGGTAGACTGAGTGGAGGAAATCACATACCTCATAAATTTCTTTAACTGAAGTGACATTTTTTAAAACAATTTTTACAAATTTCTACAGTCTGTATGTTTTACGTGCACAGCCAATGCCTTTTTGAAAAAGAAACACGTTTACTTAAATAAATATTAACAATTATTGATTTTGCAGACTTAAGTCCGATTGTGGACAACGTGCCACTAAGTCATAATTTCTTTCGCAATTCATCCTTCTTGCTGTCACAAACAGATGGGATCTATTGCAGCCGTCAGCCGCAACACTTTCGACGGTATCACTCCTCTAATTCATCCAATCATTCTCTACTCTAATTCATCTCTACTCTAATTAATCTCCACTCCCACACAACCAAACTCATTATACTCTTCACGATAATCTGTCCTGAGCTTTGGGTTTAAGATTATTGACCACAATGCTTGCCGCTCCGTTGCTGAATTGCGATCTATATGCAATATATTGCACATCTCTGTTAAGCAATTCTGGAACAGTCTACACCAGGAAACTCTTTTGGTGCCATAACAGTTGGTGGGGACGATAGAATAATATATAGAAAGTAAATTGAAGGAACTACGAGTCTCAGAGGTCAACATGGCCTAACGAATCACGTAAAGATTGCCAAGGGCAGCAAGTTAATTAAGAGTAATAATTGAGCATCATGAGAATTAGGGAGGCTAAGAGACTCAGACCACGCAAGAAGACCAGAATGAGGGTGTTGAAAATGAGCAGTACGCTTCAGTGGGGGATAAGGTCGAAAGTGATGTGGAATATAATAGTGACCTTGATGCTATATAGACACGAAGATGTTGTGCTTGCTGAGATTAGAGGTGAAGTATGGGAGCCGCCACCCACTATAAGATCAGCATAAAAGCAGATATCGCTTTTTCTTATTTTTATTTGATATTTTACAATAACTTATTTATATTTAACAATTAGTCACCGAAGGCGAGGTGATTACAAGCCTATATTATATAATGGTGATTACAAGCTAATATTATAGTCTTGTGATCACCGAGCCTGAGGTGATTATTAATTGTTTTAGTATAAATTCAGTATTGAAAAATAATAAAAAATACAAACGTTGTAAATATAATTTACTTCACTCTTCCGCTTTTAAGTGACGAATCCAGCTCCCGATAGGTTAACACTATATATTGTTGCTTCTTTTGCATTTACAGGAATAGTATGTGCCTTTAATTTCTTCAATTTTTTCTTCGATGATTTGTTTGCAAGTAGATTTTCGGCAGCCATTTTGTTTTGAAAGCAATAGTTACTGCTCAGAGCAGTCTGAGCAGTAACTATTGCCTCAGAGTTGCTGCTGAGGGCGCCAATCAGAACTCTTGAAAGCCATTTTTCAATACTGAATTTATACTAAAGAGAAATAGAGAGGTTCAGATTTTGTCACCAACACCACTATCCCTACCTTTCGCACGTATACAGTTTTAACACCAGCTATATATGGCACTAATAGCGTACTTGAAACTTTTACATTCGTACTTGCATTTCAACGTCAGACATTGTTGTCAAAACAAGTACTGCAATATCACGGCTTAACAATTTCTATGACCATGATGATCAGCTTGATAAGGTAGCTCTTGTCTCGAAGAGTGTTCACAACTTTGATATGGTCGTATGGTAGTATTTAAAGTGAACATTCACCACGATAAACGACAGAATCTCAATTAGAACAATTCTTGTTTTGAGGATTCAGCAATCAAAGAACGAATAATTGTCAAATATTGTAGGAGAAAAGTATAACCTCGCTATATGCTACCAGTATCGTCATGTCATGAAGTCTCATCTTTTCTAAGAACTGTAGAATTTGTTCTACGTATCTTTTTATGGCTAATAGAAAATGTTTTAAAGATAGAGGAACGACCACACACAAGGCTTTTTTCTCAAAAAACGAGTTTTTTTAAGGCCAGATGCATGTGCTTTTTGAGGTGGTGGGGGTGGGGGGGGGTCTGAATAAATAATCTTTAAGGGTGGGCCACTGAAAAATATGGATATGAAGGGATGGGCCCTCTGGGATGGGCCCTGCCTAAGACCGCCTCGAGATGGAAAAGTTGAGAAGTAACTAATTTGTAGGGAATTTTTGCATGGTTTGACATGCAGTTAATCGAAAGAAAAGTCCTTCACACAAAAATACACCTTTTATGCTCGAATTAAATTTAATGTATACATTCACCGAGCAATCTGATTAAATATACATTCATGTCATACAGAAGCAACTATTGTATAATCTAACCATATAGGGTGCGTTTTTACATAGCAAGCGTGAAATTGTTAATGTCTAAGTCTATTTTGTGTTCCGAGATAAAAACAGATTGTACTATCCAATTGTTTATTAAGACCAGTTGCTGCTTGGAACTTATTTATCGTGGTAAACTAGCATATCATCAGATTCGTCGGGACCTAAATCACTCAACACTCCCGATGGCGACGATGCAATTCCATTTTCATGAAATTTCTTTGAGTTCCCATGGTGAAAACGCTCTTTCTCGTCGTGGCTGCCTGCTGGTTCCCTACCTGTGAAACTGATCATACTTTCGCGTGGTTGTGCAATCGTTAATTCAAAGACTGACGTGTTTCGCTGCCGACCCCGACTGTTATAGTCTTTCGTATTCGCCAGGTACTCGGAACGGCCAATCATTTTGAGGAGTATTTTTCGAAATGATCGGCGGTAAATTCTGTCGAAGCAAGCGTAAATTATTGGGTTGAAGAAGCTGTTCGCATACGGCAGAAGGGTGAAAAACACGACTATCAGCACCGTGTGTGTTTTGTTTCCAAGTTTTTCCAACACTTTTGGTTGATGTTGTGCAATTTGAAACAACACAAAGAATGGTCCCCAGCATATTACAAACGTGTTCACGACTATGAATAAAGTCCGAGTGGCTTTTAGATCTTTGTATGCAGAATAGTGAAGTTGTTTCCCAGAGACTGGATCTACCATTGTCATCGCATTCTCTTTCTTGAAGTGATACAATGCAATACGAAATATCAAAGTATACATGATTATGAGGATTAGCAATGGAAAGAAGAATGCTACTACAGCTGCCATCGTGTAGAATATTTTATTACTGTTCCTGCACGATCTATCTAAAAGTACAACCCCTTCAGCGTTTCCGAAGCGAACGAACCCAAGGCCTGCTAGTAGCGCTGCAAGTGCCCATATGGCAATGATTATGATAACAGCAACTGTTTTTGTCATTTTTTCGCGATACTGAAACGGACGGCTAATTTTGAAATAACGATCGACACTGATCACTGTTAGGGTATAAATTGACGCCGCTTCGCAAAAGATGTCGATCCATATCAAAAATCTGCAAACATGGAGGTTCAGGGCGCTTCTGTCGACGCGACCATAACGACTTTCAAAAATCGTCAACAGACGAATGCTGACGCTAAAACAAGCCACAAGAATGTCTGATAAGGCCAGGCAAGCGACGAAATAATTTGTCACAGTTCTCAAACGACTGTCGTAATATATGGCTGCGAGTACAAGGATGTTGCCGAACACTGTAGCTATAATGGTAAAAGTGAGGAACACGATTTGAAAGTCGAGCAGGTTTAAATTATCGTTGGATGTATTGTTACTTTGATTTTGCTGCTGGCTTAAATTCCCAATATTCGCCATTTCTATTCTGTTTTACTTTTCTCTTTTATCCTCTTTGTGAAGTTAATGGCTAATTAGTTTGTGTGAAGAAGAAGCCGTTAGGAAGAAGCGGACCGTAACTTGCGACAATTGTTTTGCATTTATTGCAACACAATGCGTTCTTTATATACCACCTGCGTTTTTATTATTCGTCTCCTGTATTGCTTGTTCACATTCTCTTATCAGATTCTCTTGTCAATAATTAAGATACTTTCAATCCAAATTTCACCCAGATTATATGAATCCTGATGTTGTTTTGTCTTTGACAACAAGACCTATAGCTAAAAAAATTGAAAAGTTAAGATCAGTCAGCAATATATAGATATGAATATCATTCACTTGAGTTTTAATTAAAAACAACGACAGGACATTAGCATAGGGAACATAGTGCCTTCTACAACAAGTTAATGGGGGGTTGTTACGCGCAATCTAAGCAATGATTATACCTCGAAAACTCATATAGTGTTATAAATTAATAATCGAATGCAAATAAGTTTACTTAACCTTTATTATCCTTAGCATTGTCAATGATGCTGATTTTAAAAATAAAGGATGCTTCCGCTTGTTCCCAAATTGAATAATACACAAGAAATAACATTTTATTATGTGTTGCCCAAGCAATTTACTTGCCCGCGTCACCCGAATAGAACTTGAAAAAACAATCTGCAGGTACCATGACATTTGAGACAAAATGAAAACCCTTGTTACAAATTATGTTTAATTTTTCTTTGTGACTAAGTGAGGTCAAACAATGTCAAGTACTCTGGATGAATTTTTTTTATTTGGAATCCGCAATTATATTGCATTAATATTCATTCACTTCAATATAATTGATTCTTGTGAAGCACACAGCTGGATCCCATGGCAAAAAGTTATTAGTTTATAGTTGTGATATAATGAATTCTTTTCTTCTAGCAGGATTATAATTGCGATCGGTCAGCGTGGAAATTTAGCATAGTATAATTCTGTTAAACCTTCCTTGAGCTAGAAAAAAATGTGTTAATTAATTTACCGGGATGAAGTAACCTGCTAAGTATTCGACAAAGCAATGTGTTTGTACACAACTAAATTGTATACAAACTGTGCAAATTGAATTACGTTGGGACTGCGTGCTAATATTTTCTGCAACAGATTATTAAAGCCCCACGTAAGCCACAGGGCTACAACCATACAAATTATAGGTATTATTCTCTATATTAATGTCTATTATTTCTATGGCTACAACTGCAACCGCGCGAAATTGCTTGCCACAGGAGTTTGGTACGAGCCAAAATACCCTTAGGCTACAAATCCGCCATTTTGTGGAGTCAAATTTTTAACGAATTTGAATCCTCCCTATTAAATGTTCAAAAACTTAATTTTACTATTGAAGTACAACTTACAATATAACGAAACAGTTTATTTTCACTCTCCTCCGCAGAGGCTTTGTGTTTTGTTTTGGTTTTTTTCTTTTTTCGAAGTTTGCAGGCGGGATAGTCGCGGGCTAGGCAGGCTATAGGGGGGAAATTATAGGGGGCCGTTTCCCCTAGCCTGCCTAGCCCGCGACTATCCCGCCCGCAAACGTCGAAACACAAAGCCTCTGCGGAGGAGAGTGGTTTATTTTATATTATAGAATATAATATAAAATATAGAAAATATATGATGTGACACTAGAATAATTACAGCAAATATAATTTCTTGACAATAACTTTGTTTTGATAATATGATTGAGTATTTCTCGTGTCAAGATCTGTACACGTTTTATGAAGTTTGCTTGCATTTCGAGTATAATGTTGGTGAACTTCGATAGTTTTATAAATATGAATCAAAACTGACCGACTAAAAACAGCGTGCAGGCCGCCATATTTCGGTTTTACTATATCGATCTTTTTAAAACTTTTTTCAAATTGACGTATAAGACAATCATTTCATTTTAACAATTCGTGCAACAAAATTGTATTCCATTATTTTATATTTTCTTTTATATTCACATTAGTATTTATGCACATTTGTATTTTGGCCTTTACGTGATTCTGTTAGAACATTCATTTGGATCATTGCGTAAAAACGAATTCGGGAGATTGCGCGTATGCCATGTTTCATACATGTATAGCTAGTTATATGCCAACTTTTTATGATTCTGTTGGAAGGCGGATATGCCATATAGAAAAAGTTAAGATTTTACAGTTTAAATCTTTGATTCGATCGCATCTTCAAATCTACCAACCATAAGGTGTCTATATTTGACTACGTTCAGACTACACTGTAGCGAGAACGGCGCAGAACAGTCACAATTATAACCTTCGCATTCGCACTATGCCGTCGTGACTATATGAAAACGTCACTTTCGCCGTAACAATTTGCAATTGAGCACTGTTTCTAAGCGAGATGAACACTAACATTCTAATATTAATTCCACCAAGTGAAGTGCAAGAATCCAAATCATTGAAATCCACCTTATCACAACCCGCACACCCGATTACCTATATATACATGAACTTACGGTTACAGCTTAACAGCTGGCCTCTGTAGTTCAGTTGGTTAGAGCGCTGTACCGGAATCGCAGGGCCGTAGGTTCAATTCCTACCAGAGGACCTTGTGCTGCATTTTTCGCAGTCGTTCCTGGTTAGGTCTTAAAATGTATATATTCTTGGATTACAAACCCTAACATTCTAATATTAATTCCACCAAGTGAAGTGCAAGAATCCAAATCATTGAAATCCACCTTATCACAACCCGCACACCCGATTACCTATATATACATGAACTTACGGTTACAGCTTAACAGCTGGCCTCTGTAGCTCAGTTGGTTAGAGCGCTGCACCGGAATCGCAGGGCCGTAGGTTCAATTCCTACCAGAGGACCTTGTGCTGCATTTTTCGCAGTCGTTCCTGGTTAGGTCTTAAAATGTATATGTTCTTGGATTACAAACCCTAACATTCTAATATTAATTCCACCAAGTGAAGTGCAAGAATCCAAATCATTGAAGTCCGCATGATATGCAGTAATTTACTGACATTCTTTCTCTCAAATACAAGATCACTTTTACCAAAGGTGGATGAATTAAAAATTATACTTGACCAATATGATGTGAGTATGGCCTTCATAACCGAAACATGGTTAAATGAGAAAATCGACGATGCAG